GCGGAAGAATCACATCCCTGGATTAATGAGATGAAAAAAAAAACTTACTTTCTGACAACTCCTTTTAACGTTAGTTTAGAAAAAAAAAAGAATTAAGGGCAAAAAGGAAATTTATTTTTCGAATCTGATTGTTACAAATCTTACGAGAGTCTGTTAGCGGACGCACGAGAATGTTTACGTGGCCGAGATTTTAGATTTATCTAGCCATTGTGAAATATTAACTTATTTATCAATTCGCTCATAAACGTATCCATATCATCAAATGCAAATATGCACTCATGATCACAATTATATATATATATATATATATAAAACGTTCATGTTACTTCAATGAAGAGGTGGGAAAACATTAAATTCTTAACATAGATTTGATAATTTTCTAGCATTTCTTGAATTAAATATTCGCCTCTGTTAAGTAAGCCATAAAAAGTTGGAGGTTGAAAAAAATTTCTTAAAAATGGTTTAGAAAAATAAATTTGGTTATGCAAAAAGAAATGAGATACTTCTTTATAATTTCCAGAGTTTAAATGAGTAAACTTATTATTCCAAATTAATAGTTTCTATTAATCTTAAACATCTTTGACTTTGCACACAAGAGTAAATTAAATCCTCCAGCAAAAAAAATTTCCTAAAAATAGCTGTAGTCTTAAGTTAGTTGCAGTTAACTACAAAAGAAATGTAGATTTTCCAACCACTGATACCAGTCATGCTTATTCGTTGGTCAAAAATAGAACTTCGTTAGGCTAAATGCCTTATTCCGAAAGAGTTTAATATTAATAAACATTGCGTAAAATACAGGTTTGCAGTTTTATTTTTACATATTTGAGTAATATAAGTTAAGAAAAAAAAATTAGAAAAATGTTGAAAACATAAGTTTAAAAAAATTGCATAAATGTAAATAAACAATATCCAAAAAATTAAAAAAACTCGCTATTTAGTTTTTTAATTATCTGTAGTTGATTTAATGTATCAAGTTTTGAAAATTTTTTTTGGGATTTGATATTTTTACATGTTATTAGTTTTTATATATTGTTTTATCAGTTCTTTAAGTACTTCTTATTTCCTCTAATAAACTATCAGCACTATTTTTAACATATTCAATATCTTTCTCCAATTTATAATTAACACAAAGCAAAATAATTTTCTTCAATTTATAAATGCAAAGCTAAATATATCTGAAAAGTTTGTAAAACCAAAATTGAAAACAAAACTAAGCATTTTTTGAGGGCCTTAAAAGCAGTTCAATAAATTGAAAACTTTTTAAGAATATGTATGAGTTATTCCTCAAAGATTATCAAGAGTTATTCTTTTAACCCAGGAGTTCTTGATTCATCTTGTATGCTGCTATTAATTTTAAAATACAGGGATGAGAGTAGTCAGAAAGTAAAAAAGAGGAAATCCAAGAATATATATATATACACAAAAATTTGACGGAAAAAGTGCGATTTTTAAATTTGTAAGCCATGTGATTATAAATCCCGATGATTAATTTTAAAATTTTATGAATATGAATCCCGATATGAGGCTTTTAAATCACGTGAATATGAAACTCTATATCGAATTTTAAAAAATGCGAAAATACAAATCATGATGAGTAATTTTTAGATCACGTAAATACGAATTACGATGCATAATTTTTAAATCGCGTGAATACAAATCACAATGTCTAATTTTTAAAGCACGTATAATTACGAAAATCGACGTTCGATATTACAACCGCAATAGCGAATCACGACATTGGATTTTAAGCTTGCATGAATACGAATCGCTATATTGGATTTTTAAATCTCGTAAATAAGAATCGCAATGTACGATATTTAAATCGGCTGAATAAGAATCGCAACGTTTAACTTTCAAATCCGGTAAATCGATGTTTGATAATAAAATCGCGATTTTAAAAATGTATAAATACAAAACACGATATTGGATTTTTAAATGCCGTAAATAAGAATCATAATATACGATATTTAAATAGCGTAAATAAGAATCGCAATGTGCAACTTTTAAATCAGGTAAATACGNAATCATATTGCAACATTTGATATTTGCAGAGTCTGGACTTGGGATTTCTAAAAGGCTTGTTTGTATTGTCTTTGTTTAGACCTAATAAATAGAAAATTTCAAGATTAATTGAATGAGCAAATAAATATTTTCACCGCAAATCCACGTCTATATATTTTTTTTTTCTCGTTTGCCAGACAACAGGGTCTGAATTGCGAAAATACGAGCTATCCGCTATATCCGGCGGACGAATAAAAATACGGAAAATCTTATTTTCTGTGTGTAAAAGCGGAGAAAATAGCTAAAATAAGTAAAAATAAGGAAGGGAGAGCAGCTAGGACATAGTTTGAATTTTCTGTTTATCTTTGAAAATCGTAAATATAATTATTTTATTTCAAAGACTGAATTTTCACAAAAAAAAAAAAAAAAACGGGATATTTATTTAAAAAAAACGAATCTTTTTAGAGAATCGGAGTTTTTGATAAAAAGGCTGAAATTCGAGAGGCAAAAACAAAAAATCTCATCCCTGTATAAAGGCCAACCAGTTTTATCCCAAAGAAATGATTTTTAGAGAAACTTCAGAGGGAGGAATGAGGACTTCAATGCTTTCGCTCCGCGGAAAATTAAATTCCTCAAAATATTTTAGCTTGTTCAAAAAAAAAATTTCCGCGGAAATTAGCGGGAAAAATCTGACAAAAAGCGGAAATCCGCGAAAGAATCACATCCCTGAAAATATACTATCCTTATTAATTTGTATTCTATGCGCAGCCAGAATTTAAATCTATTTTGCCCTAATTAATTATAGTACATAATTTACACATTTTAGGCTCTATAAATGAATTGGAAATATTTAAAAACATTATGCGGATAGGTTGCAGAACCTAAAAAATATACTTGGTATGGCAGTCCAAGGTGTGCCAAGGCCTACTGCTGAAAATTCCTCTAGGACAACCTATTTCTTGATCTAAACTGCCAGTCTTTTTTGACTAGTATAGGGCTTTGACACAAAAGTTTTCTTTACCAGATCTTTTTGATCCATTTTGGCAATATAAGTAGCCCAGTTCATTCTTTTAATTTCAATGCTCTTGATATCAGGCTCCTTAAAAAATCAACAAATTTCTGAGTTTAAATGTCGTCGCCAAAGGCCATTTTCTTTGGCACCGCGAAGAGAACTTTTATTTCAAAAGTTCATTCATATATTTTGTGTCCTCCATCTTTAGTTAGAGGCCAGGTTGCTGAACCATATATCAGAATTGGCCTAATGAGAGTGAAATAAATAATAATAATAAAAAAACTAAGACTAAACCAGAAAAAAAATAGTTAAAATTTTTTTCCAATGTTTTAATTATAATTTATCAAATGCAGGAATTATTTTAGCTAAGTTACCCTAGATGGACAAGGTTAAGTAGCTAACTGGGCCGTTAGAATTGAAAGAGATGGTGGAATTGTATGAAGAAAAAAAATTGTGAAGGCAAACTTATCTGCTGAATTAAAACACTTTGCAAAAAACAAGAATTAAGTGAAAAATAATCTATTATTGTATCAATAGTAAATTATGCAGTTTTTTGCATTTTTCCACATTTTGTAGGATTCTAACTTAAGGTACTTGCACAGGGTGCCCTACATTAGACTTTCAAAAATTTACAGCGGAAAAACAGTTACGATTAAATTTAAAAAAACTTCCAGCAAAAAATTGACACGACTAGGCATACAATTCTCCTTCTAGAGTTACTGCTTTTAGTGCAAATATTTTTTGACTGATGACACAGTAGATAACAAATGCTAAAAGAAAAATCAGATTGCAATTTTTAGAAATCATATTGCAACATTTTTGAACTGACCAAAGCAGCCACAATTAAATAGTGGAATGTGATTTTCTAACTTATTTTTATTTATAGCATCATGCATCAAAAAAAATTAGAACTAAAACAAATCAATATAATAATACATAAGTTTCAAAAGCACAAGAAAATATCCCCCTGAATAAATTTTGTATTAACAATTGGATTTTCAGAAACAAAGGATCAATGTTACATAATGGTTCAAAGAATTGATTTCAAATATTCTAATTGATGAGTGGTAACTAACTATTCATCAAATTACAGAATCAGGCAAACAAAAAAAAAAGTTATTTTTTTGAATTAACTTACCTTTTTCAATGGATTTGGGTTTCTGACTATCAAAATATGGGAAGTAACACATTAAACTAGGGTGATAACAAATATGATCCTAATAGTTTAGTCAAGAGAGCAGTAAAAAAGTTCTTGAGAAAGATATAGATTTAATCAATGGAGATGATATAAATGTATTCTCAAAGAAATATCTTAATACAGTACGGTTTATCAATGGTGTAAAAATTCAGAAAAAAACCAATACTAAATAAAAAGAAAAAACTTTTCTTTCTTTCCCTAACCCCAGTAGAATTTGGAAGGAGAGGGTGCAAACCCATTTCAAGAGCGTCTGCCGTGTTCTTAAATGTTTTTTCCTTTATACACAGGGACTGCACCAAGCCTTAGAGGACTGGTTTACATTATGTCTATGGAAGCTAGCCTTCCTCTGTGTATATTCTTTGGCTGTACCCTAAGTCATTTTTTTGTTATAAAATATTTGACATAAGAGAGAAAAATATTAATTTTTTGTGAGACCATGTTTGTTTTATCTTCAATGTAGCCAGTACACACAACTTTGTTGCAGTGGAATTTATTTTTAAAAAAATATCAATAGAACTTATTTATAACAAGAAAGTTGGAACCAAAACATTTCTCTTGTTTAAACAACTGTTGTACCAGTCATCCCTAAAATATTGATATAACTTTAAAAATGGCTGTTTTAAAATTGATTTGCAAAATTTTCGAAAAAATACTTGTGTTTATTAGTTTGAGACACAACTAATAGTTGAAACTAGCACAGAGAATGCTGTAATATTAATTATATCATCTAACTATAATTATTATCAGCAAATTAAATTAAATTAGGGAAAAAATGAAACTCAAAGAGAATTATTGAAAAAAAATTATTTTATTGATCTGAAATTTAGACTAATTTGCATAATTTAAATATACTCATTATTCATAAACAAGCATTCAAACATTTGTTCATATAAATAAATATTTACAATCACTGGCAAGATGAATCACATTCACCCATTTCTTATAGTTTTGTATGAACAAAAATATCTATATTTTAAATGATATAATGAGTGTTGTGTTATAAATATGGGTATATATGGGTTAAATATACTAATAGGTGAATAACATTTTAAGCACAATAAAATAATGAAGATAAATTTTTAATAATAATAAATAAGTACTATTTTTAATATAACCGAAAGTAAAGTATACTTAAAGAATACTCAAATAAATTTTACATAACACCTAATGTATGTATACTAAAATACAAAAACAAACATTGCTTAAATAATCAAACAATTTGGCAAAGTATATGATTATAATTACATTTGCTATAGCATCAAAATATGAAAACAGTGTACCCTAAAATTACAGTAACTTTAATACAGAAATAAAGCAAGTAAAAGAAATATCAGAAAATATATTAAGTACTTCTTACGGTATATGCTAGTTCAAAATGTTCGATTAAAACTGCTTCTAGAAAACTTCATTTAAAAAACGTAAAAAAAATATATTGAGATTCAATTATATTTTAAATGCGACAAACACAGCGAACTTTTAACTGTATAAGATCGATTTGAAATTAGAATACATTAGTAAAAAATATTAAAAACAGAACTTTCAAAATCTTTGCTATTGATAAAAATAATTTATGTCTTAACTCAATATCTAAAATAAATTTTCTTTTCTTTTTGTGGATTTTGTAGTTCAGCTTTCTTCCAAAAAATATTTTAATTTTAAACTCACAACATTCAGAAAATTAATGCGATAAAGGAGAAGGGAATTACAAAAGTTCTCCCGTAAGTTTCACACAAATTCACAGATGTATTTTCTTATGCATAAAAAGTATACTCAGTAAAAGTCATCTAATTTTAAAAAATAAGTTAACAGTGAAAAATAAGACAGTCATCAAATATAATTTATAAATTAAATTTATAATTATGAGATGAATATAAAACTATTTGAAATCTAATAACGTAATTGCTAATTGAATGAAAAAGTTACCATTTTTAATACAATTGGCAGAGTTAAACAATTACATATAGCACAAGGATGAATGGTACGAGAGTTTTATTGAGTGAAAAAAAAGTTTGTAATTACTAACTTTAGCGCCAAAAAAAGTAAAATAATTTTTCTGCCATAAATTTTAGGATCACATAGAAAAGGTTAAGCTGCATGATATAATAATTACTCTATTATATTAATATAAAGTCATTATTACTCTACTGCATACAAACAAAAAATTCATAACCTTACAAAAACCTATTTCAATGCTCGTAAATTAAAATATATTTAAAAAGAGGCAAACTAAAAAATAGGTTAACAATACACCATCTTCTATTATTTAATTATTATAAAATTAAAATCACAATTATGAGATCCATATGAATCAATTTCGAATCTAATATGATAAATTATTAAATTTTAATAATTGAATGAAAAAGTTGCAATTTTTTAATATAATAGTTTTAATATAATAGCATAATAGTTTTATTGAAAGAAATTTTTTTTTAAATATTATCTTTTACAGAGCTAGAATGAAAGAACATGAAAGATTTTTGCAGTTAATAATATTCATCTGTACATCTCATGACCATTGTTTTTTTTTTTTTAACTGCATAATAGAACGGATCCAATACTCTATTATATAACAAAAAATTATTTTTTTGAATTTTTATTGTTTTGTTTGAACATCCTGTTTAAATTAGGACTTTAATAGGTATGTCCTTGATTTTACTTATTTTGTCACACAAGCCTTAAATTACACAAATTTGTTTCAATATAGAATAATATATTTTATACGGTAAAGAAGTTTCAGTTTGAACTACTTTTCTAATGAAAATATCAAATGACAAGTTTTTAAACCAACTAAATAGAATAAATGATATCCATTTGAAAAAAATAATATAAAATTATATAAAATACACTTATTAAATATTTTTTTCTTTACAATGTGGAGGTAAAAATGCCATGGAATGTAGTTCAATAAAGTATATAGAAAAAAAAGTTTTTATTTTTCTGCTTAGGTAATTTTAGATGAAATGCTTAAAAGATAATGCAACCATAAAGTTAAAAAGAGATATTTAAAGCAATTTAGGCATTTTACATTTCCTTAGGTTTAAAATATTAATTTAGATTTTTATAGACAGAAATATATACATATTTTTTATGTAATTGTTATATATGTTTTATTTCAAAGTAAGTAAGTCTATTGATTTAAAGCATAATAAATTGTACTACACACAGAAGAAGAATGTCTCAAACACACGGAACATGAATATAAATAATTTTTAAACAAGCATATATATTTAGAAATTAGTTCTTTGAAGTGGTTTAATCAAAATTTCCAAGAATTTAATGAATTTACTACAGAAAAGTTACAAGGTTACAGATATGATAATTATAAAAAAGTATTTAGAGCCATAAAGCTCATTACTTACATAATAATAGTTTTATTTACTTGCTCAAAAGAATAAAGACATGAGAGTACATGCAATGTTTAATTACTCTTTCACTTGAAGAATAAATAACAAGTTTTTCAAAAAAGAAAAATCCGATATTTGTACCATGGAAAAATCGAAAACATTCTAAAGTCAATTTTTATAAAGTAAAAAGTAGTAAAATTTGTAACTATACTATTTAAATATTATATGCCTTTATAATTGAAGTTTTTATACACTATGATAAATTTCAGTGACCTATATTATTGCCATAAATTATTTGAAATATTTTGATTTTGCACATTTGGTGTTGGCCAGATTACTCCAGCAGCAGGTTGACTTGGAGCAATCAGTAAACCTCCAGAATTAACTGCACTGGGATTGTTAGTCATATTCCATGCCTGTCCAGAAATCTGCAAATTTGCCATTTGCTGTGATATCTAGATAAAAGAATTATGAGCAAAATGTACTGATTAGAATGTAAGTGATTTTATAAGTCATTTAAATTAATTAGGGATGTTAGAAAATGCACATGTTTAAACAAATAATATATTAAGGGTTAGATATTTATTTATAAGTATTTGCTTAACTTTGCCACTTTCTGTTTATTTACATACTGTACTCAGTACTTTTTAATAGAGATCTTATGAGTTTGAAGAATGAACAGAATTATTAATAAATACATTATTTTTCAGATTTTTAATCACCTCATTATATAAGAAAACCCCTTTTTAAAATTCAAAATGAATAATTTTATGTGTATTAAGTTTTGATTTTAACTGTCAGAAATTTCTTCGAAATAAAAATATTTTAAACAATAAAAAGGGAAAAAATATTGGTTAGTAGGATATATTTATAGCAGCTATGAGTAGAATGGATTCTTGCTAGCATGAAAAAGGAAATGCGATGAATGATTGAGTACCAGTAATTTATCAATCAGCGGTATGGTCCTCACAAGATAAAAAAATTATATGAGGTAGAAAGAATTAAAGACTGAAGATATGATTGGCAATGTACAAATCCAAATTATGACAAGCAATCATGAATATGAATGTGCATATTTGATTTTAAAAAATTATTTCTCAGTCAGTTTTGATCCAAAAGATGAATCCTCATAGAATGAAAACCATTTAAATTTCCTAATTCTGGCATACAAATAAACATTAAGAAGAAACAAATGTATATTATTTTCAATTAATAAAAAGTTTTTCTGTATCTTAATTTATGAAGAATCATTAAATAATAAGTATACTTTTCTTACTTATCTTAAAGAAGGCAATTTTTTAAAATCAAAATGTCCTCTCCCTAACAATCGGCAGACAATCAGTATAAAATATACCCCCATTTTTAAATATGATTTAAAAGTTGAAAAAGCCCAATATTTTTCTGGAAAATACACAAATATGAAAAGTCAATATCCTGCATTTCAAAATTTTAACCTTTTGAAGACTGCTGGTAAAACAGTAGTATCACAAGCTTTTTTTTCTTTCTTGTTATAAAATTATTTCAAACACAAGAGACAAATCGTAATTTTTGTGAAACCATATTTGTTTTGTCTTTAACAAAGTCCAAGAGTTCCACCAACTTAACAAAAAAAAAAAAATTGCATAAATTTTTGCATCAGGAAAATCTGATTTGTATCTGAAAGAAACTTAATTTGTATCAAGTAAATAACAAGTTTAGTGACTAACAAACAATTTTTGCAGCATGTCAACACAAATATCAAGGTAAATAAAAAGTAGTTTTTTAAAATCTATATGTCATTAAAATTTATTAATTTAACTTTGCCCAGCATTTCAAAACAATGGAAGAGGGAATACAGCAATTATTATGAAAAAGTAGTAATTTATTTATTTTTAACAGAAAATATCTGTTACATTTTTAAGGGGAAAAAATTGAAAAATTAATTTAAAAAATAAATATTAATCGGAGGATTAAGCTCAGACCATTGACTATTTCTCAAGACTGATTCAAGATGTATGAAATAAAATGAATTACTCTATCATAAGTAAATATAATCAGCTAGAGGAAGGCTCTATAAAAGTTGTGCTATGTTTAGTATTGATTTGTAAACACAATAACAAGCTAAATAGAAAGAATTTACAAACAAACCATGACTTACAGCATTAAATCCAGGATTTGGAATAGCTTGATAACCACTCATTGCAACTTGAGCATATGCCTGAGGAGTAACATACATTCCTAAAATATAATAGCAATATTTATAGCACATAATAACTGCATTTCAAAACGAAATTATGAATATAATACAGTAGAAAAAATGTATAACATTAAAACTATTTTTTATGTCAGATGGTATAACATAATCTCTAACATTTACCTGTTTTTGAAAACAAGTAATTTGATGAGATATGATAAAACAAAGAAGTTTTCTTCATTGTTGCGAAAAAAAAATTTCCTTTTTATTTTTTAAAGATCATAAGTATGGCATAATTATAAGCTGAAGATTTAACAAGTTAAGCCAATAGGCAATCCTTTTAAGAGAGACAAAGACAGTTTTTTAAGTACCCAAAACCCCCAGTCTTAACGCCAACAAAATCAAATTACCAGTGAATGCGTACTTACTAACCGACGGTTAGGAGCACGGGAAGAAATCCAAAAATTAGAAAATTTTCAAAAAATAAAGTCAACATCGTGTTATTAACATTATATTTTAAATAATCTGACTTTAACTTATTCACAAAAGAAATAAATAAAAAAAGCTTTAGAATTTACTATAACACTGTAACCATATTTGGGGTAACTATTTTAACTGCATTTTGGGATTAAAAAATAAAGCAGCTGAAAGAAAAATAAAGTAAAAAATAGATTTTGATATTCCATTTGTCACAACAGTGAATTAATAAGTTATACACCTGTATTGAATAGAAAGTTAGCCGTTACATTGATAGTTCACTTCTCATTTTTAAATATAATTTTACTTCAGAAAATTATGTGAGTTCTGGTAAATTCTCTTAAACAGTTAAACTATTTTATCATCCTCATAAAAGTTCAACTGTATTAACTTTATTTATCCAATATACCTTACAAGAAATAAAACAAAGGAAAACTTCAACTAGTACTGATATCTTGTGATGAATAACAACTAATTATAACTCATTAAAAATTTCAATTATCTCTTTAGATGAAAATTAAATCCAGAACTTTTACTTTTTAGCAACAAGATAAACTTTACAGATATCATTATAGGGCCATACATGAAATAAATAAAAAGGAAGTAAAAATAAAAATGTCAAGGCTTACTTTTAACACTTTTTTTTAATTATAAAGGTTTTTGCTATCGTATGCTGGCAAGTTATAATTAATCTGATTTATGAATAATAAAACTTCAAAATGTAGATTTCCTTTTCACTTTCATTTTAAAATATGTCTGAACTTAAATATTACCACAAAAATATTTTAGAGGTACATCACTGGACAAAGATCTATCATATTAAGCAGGTTAGATTCACTATGTATTATGCTACAATTTTCTATCTGTCCAAGCTTAAAAAATATTCCTGGAAGATGGAAATTGACACAAATATATATTTTTATTTGCAAACATAACAATATTTTGAATGGCAAAATGTGAAAATTTCTCATTAATTAACCCTTCAGTAATAACTCACACTGCACAATTACAAAAATTTTTATGCAACAGTTATAAAATCTTGTTCACATCCAAAATCCTCATACAATTTCAAAAATTTTGTTAAATTATTTAACCCATCTAAATTGCTTAACCATTCAAAGTTGATTACCTGGAATAGCACCCGGTATACCATAAACAGGAGCAACATGCTGAGTTACGGGAACTTGAGTTGCATTTGTACCATACAAAGATAGTATAGATTCCTTAGTCATTTTATTAGACTGATTCCCATCAGATTTTTGATTAAAAAAGTCTGCTTCATCAGATGAAATATTGCTTTTGAAAGTTTCCTCTGTAGAGTTGACATGAGAAGAAACTGATGTGTCTGAAGCACTTGGAAGAGTTGCACTAAGAAATACATCAAATATATCATCACCCCCAATTTGGTTTGAATCACCACCTCCTACAAAGAAAGGAAAAGTTTAAGGATAGCGCTTTACATCTTAAAATATTAATCCTACTTTTGAATACAAAAAAACATTTTGCTAGAAAATTTACTGTGAATTTTTGTCCTCAATAAGTAGTTTTTCTTTAGTACTTAAATTTTATTTCCTCTGCACATAGAAAATACATAAAAGACTCATTTTCGTGCACAAAAGTAACATTTATAAAATTTAAAGAGAAAGAAAAAAATTATGTAATAAATTTTTTCTCATCAACACATAAAAGAATATATATATTAAAAAAATTATATTTTCTCATATTGCATCATATTAAAAAAAAAAAAAAGGATTTTAAAAACCATGAAATCTACAGCTCAAAATATACTGAAAAAAGATAGACAATAAAACCTTAAGAATTTACGAGGAAATCACACAAATCGGATGAGGAAAGAAGGGATTAATTAAATAAAGAACTTAGTGGAAGAACCAGATAAGTGACATTTTAGTGAATTTGAGTAAACAAGCATTAAAGTTTATACACTCCCTTGTTTTTTTGCTCAATCTTTATGTTTTTATAAAAGGGGCAAACATATCACACTGATTACATAATTTTTCTGTTTAAAATCAGAATTAGCTACTATTAAAATATAAGTATAAAAAAATGGAAAAAGAAAACACATTTTTCTAGTGAAAGATCATTTAAATATTTGCCATTTCCGAATTACATTTTAAATTATCAGAATTTATTTGCGTAAAAAAAAATAGTTATTGCATGCGAATGAGAACTTGGGGGGAAAAAAAGACAATGCTGTAAAGGGCAAAACGAATGACTTGTTGACGAGATTTCATGTAAATAACAGAATTTAAATATTAAGTTAGCAGAACTCTGAATATATTTTGTCAGAATATAAATTAATTTGGGGAAGTCCACAAATTAATGGAAAAAAAAAACATGTCTGAAGAAAAAAAAAATCTGGAAATTTTTTTTAAAAGGAAAAATAAGATTCTCAGTATCATAAAAATAGTACAACCTAAAATAATTTCACAACTGCTATTACATTCAGATACAAATCTCTAGTTCAAATGCAAAATTATAGCTCTTGCATCTATGGAGTAAATAATAGTGTACTCTCTACTAGGGATGTAACAAATAATAGGCCAAAATATTAGCCGAATATCAATATTTGGCTGCCGAAAAGCAAAATTTTTTATTTTAAAAAATCATTAATAAATATTATTGATGATTTTTTTAAAAATATAAATACGTATAATAGTTTTATATAAAAACAAGTTTAGTCATTATTGAAAAATAATCAAAACTTAACTATGTTATTCGTGTAAGGTAAAGGAAAACAAAATTATAATAAAAATATTTACGATAATAAGAAATGCTTAAGGTAAATAAAGAACTGAGTAACCTCTATTAAAAAAACTAAAGGGGTGAAGTTGAAAAAAAAATGTCCACTTAATTCTTAAAACAAAGCTTCAATGCAAAAAAATTATCCATAACTTTTCTGCAAAAAAATTTTCCGTAAAATAATCTATAAAAATACAGTGCTATCATAAAAATGCTCATAAAAAAGATTATATACAAAAGTAAAACAGAAAAAAGAAAAAACTATCTTAAATTTTGAAAGAAAATCTTAAAGCTAATCATCTCAGTTTTCCAATTACGGTGTTGTTTTTTTTAAAAAAGGTGAAGAATTAAGCTTAATAGAACTCTTAATTGCAGTGCCATAATAAAAACAAATGTTTTTAAAAAAGGGAAAGCTAGATAGAAACCAAAGCAAAAATCATTCTTAATTTCTAAACAAAAAAAATTTTAAACATTGAAAATCTCAATTTAGCTTTTTCACATTGCCGTATGTTTAAAAAAAAAGTAAACATAAAAGAATAATGTTCACAGGGTTCATACTTAAAAAGAATAAATTTTTTCACTGACTTTTCCAGGTAAAATGTGTAAAATTCTAGGATTTACAACAAAAAAAATCAAAAAAATTCATATTTAATTAGAATGTAAATTGAAATAATAAATATAATCGCAACTCATAGAAAGCATTAATAAATTATTTTTATTTAAAAAAAAAAAAATAATAATAATCCAGTGATTTTAACTAAACAACTCTGATTAAAAATAATAAATTGTCAAAACTATAAACGTGACTAAAAGGGATAATAATTCAAGGGGAATTTACTAGGTGATATTTAATAAAATAAATAATCTGGGTATAGTTGAAGTAAATTGCATTTAATCAACATAACATTTTAAAAAATGAAAACGCAATAAGCAACTGCATAAGCTGAAAAGGCTGCCACATGAGAAACATTTTTAGAAGATTTTTTTAATCGAATATACTCTATCTCACATCTAAGTTTTCAATAAATTTAAGTTGGAAAATAATAATTAATTGTACGAGTAAAAAGAAATATGAGGTACATATTTATAATGTTAGACCATAATGTGCAACAAAAGTACAATTGGTATGGACAACAAAGAAAACGAATGGATGATCTATTATACCATTAACAACAACCATACACTGTTGAATTCAAACTTAATTGCCTGAAAATAAAATGGTCTATACTTATTTTACAACTTTTGACCAATGCCAATACATCAAACTCCATTTAATATATGATAATAAATAGAAAAAAAAGATAAAAAAGAAAAGTTACCTGAATTAAAATAGCATTAACAATTTATTCCATAATAACAATAATTATGGACTTAAGATAATTACAGATAAACATTAATTATGGATATAATTGTGGATAGCATTATTCAATACCTAAATTCAATAAATCAGTGGAATCAGGCACTTTATTAACACTTTTGGGTGTTTCTTGATGCACAGCCTTAGGAGATGGACTAACTGGTCCTGCACTATGTGGTCTTGGTACAGCTGCAGGCAGTTGAGCTAAAGACTACAGAAATCAAATTTTACGTTAGAAGAAATAAAAAATTTAATATTAAAAGCATTGAAACAAGTAATAGCAAACAACACACTGAAAAAGACAAATTAAATTATAGTAAAAGTTTAACACAGTGAAACCTCACATTACATATTGAACACCTCTCATTACTGACATACTTTTAATTCCCTGTTAATCTTCCATGAATAAACAATTATGTACCCTTTCTGTAAAGCAAACACTCCTGTAACCAGACAAGGAGACATTTATGCCCCGCAAAAGAATTTTCTATGTCTTCAAATTCGACACAAATTTTTCTGAATTTAAAAAAAAAAAATTCCGCTTTAAAATCGAAGGACAAAAGAAATGGAATTTCCACCATTTTTAAACAGGGTTCCCACTCAATATCCTTACAAAAAACTATCCGACTATTCCAGGTATATCAGATCAATTTTAATGAAAATCCTTACCATATTTTATCTATACTATGCTTTTTTCGGAAATCAGAAAACCTTGATATGTCTATCAGAAAATCTTGATAATTGTTTATTTTTAATATTAAATATTAGATTTTGAGAGCAAAAACATATAATAGAATGAGAATGGAGGCAAGGAAAAGTTTCACTAAAAGGTGTACTTTTATAAAATAATTGTAATAGATGTTGAAATTATTTAAATTGAATCTCAATAACTGATTACTGTTATTGACATTCTAAGACTGGTAATTTTACAGGTATGATATAAGAATTTTCAGGTTTCTTTGTAAAAAATTGCAAAAATAAACTTCCCAAACGATTCCAAATTTTCCCTGTTCTCCTTCACCCACGAGATGTTAAAGCATGCAAATTTTTTGCCTTATCCAGAACAAAAAATATTGTTAAGCTATTTCACGAATTAGGAATCAATCATTCTCTTGTCATCTTCCTTTGTCATGTCATATAATTTGGACATTGGAATTTTTTAATCTTTTTATCTGGACCATACTCCTTGTGAGACCCCACAAGCTGAAATGACACCTTAAATGCTCTCAATCCCTCTTCCCCACTGAAAATTTTTCTATTTCTAATAAATTTTAGATTGTATATAACCCAGCAGGTTTAAAAAAAAATAGAAAGCTAATCATTGAGGTGTTGTTCTGTTCATATAAATGAAGCATTTATTCACACTTTTGATGTGAATATAACAACTCCATAGGGCCTTGTGCTTTACAGGTGTTCATTGCTGCTTTCTTTTTTCCTGTGCATAGCAGGAGGTTTACCTTCAAGGAGATATTGCATTTCCTATCAGGCAATGGGGAGACATAAGGGCATAGTAAACCTAATAGTTGAATAGACTGAGAAAGTGAGGCAAGACTAAAAGTGCATATTTGGTGTCATATGATTAATTTGAATGTTGGTGTAAACAGGAAAAATATATTTATTTCTCTATAGCTACATCACAAATTATGTAAAAATATTTATTGTAGAATATTTAGTTATTTCTATATCAATGCAATTATTCAAAAATAATTGATGGTGTTAAACTTTGTTATTAGTGTACCCTTCCTAGAAATGGGCAAATCTTGAAAGCGGACAATTTTTACGGTTACAAGAGTGTCCGTTTAACAGAGGTTTCACTACAATTCAGAATGCATGGAAATTGATGAATTCTGGATTGCTGAATCCAAAACCGTGATTTTTCATTTGAATTTATTTTCAGGAATAAGTGCTGCTTGTAAAAAATAATAAATACTGAAAAACTATGTAACAGTTAATAATAATCCCCTTTAAAAGATTATCAAAAATATTGTAATTGCAAATTGTCAAAAAATTATAAAAATTATGTAAAAAACATTTTTTGAAATATTTGTCAAATTCAAATAAACTAGTGAATAAATAATTGAACAAATTAATCTTATATTCAAAATTTGTATGAAAAATATTTTCATTTAATAAAACGTTTATAGAAAATTTAAAATGCTCTGTCAAACTTTTTAAAGAATTAATCTTTAGTCATGCTTAAAAACAATTTTTTTTGATAACTGATTGTAACAATAATCTTCTTCAACATGTAAAGTTGACGATCAACGCCAATTGAGCCGATCAACTAGTCAAAATTCTTATGTTTCTTTATATTTGAAGTTTTTATATACAAATGCTGAAGTCAATCTGCAGTCTGCCACTATGGAGGGGGGGGGGTTATTGAATGTTGTGTCCTAACCATAAGTTTTTTTTTAGATCATGGTTTGTAATTTGCATACATTTTAAAATCAGAAGTAATCATAATTGTTTATGTTTTGTTAAGGTGTGTAGACATCCTGATTATGTAAATTATGTGAGAGTTTAACCTCTTCATTACCTAGGTCCACAATTAGACCTTCGCTTCTTAAAACACGCTATAAGAAAAGTTATATATGCTATAGTTTTTATATATATAGTTATAGTTTAAAAGTTATCACGCTATAGTTTACCTTCACTGAAACACTTAAGCTTTTTGGGAATTCTGTAATAGATGCAGAACATATAAGTTATTTGGGTAGAAATTTACATTAACAGAAATGATTTTCAAGAAGAAAAAAAGGTCAATCGTGCTTGAAAATGTAACTAATTTTAATTATTATATAATTTAGTTATTCAGAAAATAATGTTTTTCTTTTGACTTAGTAGTTCTGTGATCTGTATGAAGCTTTTAAATTTGTATTAACTTAATTTAAAAAAAAAAAGTCAAGAACACGAAGGTCTATATGTATCTCACAGTATTATAAGTATTTAGTTTTATATATTCTGTGTATTGTAATTAATTGTTTGATAATAAAGTGCATACATACATTTAAGAACTTTAAATTTTTGTGTTTTTTTCTCCATAATTTTGAAGTTATTCATATTGCATTGTTTGCACAATTAAAATTCAACATTCGAAATATTTATATTATTTTACTTAGTTAAAACCAGAGGTTCACGTATGAAGACCTAAAATCATTAGTCCCCTGCCAGTATAATTGGTATTTCGTTTTTTTTATTATGACTTATTATGGTAGAAGAGAAATTCGGAACTGTAAATTATTTTTTTGCAATATTCCTTTATACTTCAGTAGTGAAGAAGTAAAATAGAGTTGTCACTCTTGCTCTGATTATTTATTACTAGTGCTCACTACTCCTTCCTAGCTGTTTTCCTGTTAATTTGTGTTCTCACTGTGTATTCATTATCATTCTGAGTTTATCAGTTAGTTTTGATGTTCTCATGTTCTTAATTCACTATATCCTATACACCATTAAAAATGTTAAGTCAAGTTAAGTGCTTAAATTGACTTTGCTTAAGTTAATATAGCGAATCCTCTCTTATAGTGTGTTCCTGGCTATACTGCATTCTCATGCTCATGGATATGATAAAGTATGTATCAAGCCCAAAAGCCAGTCAAGTTGAAGTGTCGCAAACATGAAAAGATTAAAAATTAAGGTATTTTCAGTATATTTCATAAGAAGATTTATTATCATGCAAAATTAATACTTTTTATCAAAACATATTTTTTTAATATTGCAAGTTTATTAGGTCGAAAGGCAAAAAACTGAACATAAAATTATATAATTACTTAGGATTTTAAATATAAAAAAGTTGCTATAAAACTGATAACACAGTTATCAGAAATAATAATGTAATCATTTAGCAATAATGTAACCATTTTTATATATCAAGTGTATAGGAGCTGATCTACTTACAGGTATTTCAATAGTTGCAGCATTTTTATTCTTTTTCTTTTTCTCTTTTTCTTTGCGTTTTTCCTCTTCAATGTCAAACTATAAAAATAAAAAAATCATCTTTTGAGGATTACAAAAACATAATTACTAAAAATAGAATGATTATATTGCAAAATAGTTGCTTTATACAACTGAAAAACTTAATTTACCTTTGAGATGAACAATAATTAAATTTAAAGTTTGTAAAAATAAGTTTACAGTTCNTAAGATTGTGTGAATAAGAATCGCGATGTTCGATTTTAAAATAGGGTGAATAAGAACCACAATGTTTGATTTTAAAATCGCATGAATAAGAATCGCGATGTTCAATTTTAAAATAGCGTGAAGAAGAATCACGATATTGAATTTTAAAATCACGTGAATAAGAATCACGATATTGGATTTTAAAAGCACGAAAATAAAAATCGGGGTATTGAATTTTTAAATCGCGTAAATAAGAATCACGATGCATAATTTTTAGAGTCCGTGAATACTCATCGCAACGAGTAACGTTTAAACCGCGTATAAATACGAAATTCGATGTTTGATATTACAACCGCGTGATAACGAATCGCAATATTGAAATTTAAAAATATATATGAATACGAATCACGACATTGGATTTTAAACTAGCGGGAATATGAATCGCGATATTGGGTTTTAAAAACGTTTAAATACAAATCGCGATATTGGGTTTTAAAACCGTTTAAATACAAATCGCAATATTGGGTTTTAAAAACGCTTAAATACAAATCGCGATATTGAATTTTTAAATTGCGTGAATGGGAATTGCGAGTAATGATTTTTAAATCGTGTAAAAACGAATCTCAACAAGTAACTTTTAAATCAGTTAAATACGAACATCGATGATTTACATAAAAATCATCTAAATAAGAATCGCAATTTTAGCAGAATCTGGCCCAGTTCCTAATATTTAAAATTCTGTAAATCAGCCAATCAAAAGAAATCAAATATCAGCGGCCGAAACGAAACTGCTTAGGACTTTTTTTCTTTTTTCCGATCTATAGCGGAAGTCGCGGTTGTCAAAGCAACAAGTCGCAAGTCCGACTATATCGCCCAAAAGTTTTTGGAACATGGTCGGAGATTTTAAAAAGTCTTTCATCCCTGAAAAAATAAGAGAGTAGTGGAGTAGGAGACGGCATTGTTTTACCAAGGTCAACCACTTTTACCCCAGCCAGCAGATTGACAAGTGAAGAAAGGTTTATTGGGGGCTTCAATACTTTCGCTCAGCGGAAGAAAAAAAATTTCAACAAAATATCATTTACTGCATAAAAATTTTTTCAGCGCGGAAATTTATGAAAAAAGAGCGGAAGATATGGAAAAATCTGAAAAAAGCGGAAATCAGCGGATCCGCGGAAGAATCACATCCCTGTCATTAGGTCGAAAGGCAAAAAACTGAACATAAAATGATATAATAAATTAGGATTTTAAATATAAAAAAGTTGCTATAAAACTGATAACGCAGTTATCAGAAATAATAATGTAATCATTTAGCAATAATGTAACCATTTTTATATATCAAGTGTATAGGAGCTGATCTACTTACAGGTATTTCAATAGTTGCAGCATTTTTATTCTTTTTCTTTTTCTCTTTTTCTTTGCGTTTTTCCTCTTCAATGTCAAACTATAAAAATAAAAAAATCATCTTTTGAGGATTACAAAAACATAATTACTAAAAATAGAATGATTATATTGCAAAATAGTTGCTTTATACAACTGAAAAACTTAATTTACCTTTGAGATGAACAATAATTAAATTTAAAGTTTGTAAAAATAAGTTTACAGTTCAAGACCAACTTTCAATATAAATTGAAATATAATTCATAAACTCAATCAGGGCTCTCACTCAAATTTTTTAAAGATAAAAAAACCTCAAGGACTTTTTAATGAATTTCAAGAACCAAAAATTAAGATCTTTAAGGACTTACTTAGTAATATAATTTGTATACCAATGACATATCAATCGGATTTTATAACTACGTTAAAGTTAAATTCAGACTCTTGGACGTGATCTCAGGGGTTCCCCACACTTTCAGAAATTCCTATGAGTTTTTGTATCAGGAAAATCTACGGTTTGAATTTTTAAAAAAAAAAATCAACTTATATGAGGTAAAAACCTTTTCTGGATTGAGATTTACATAACACAATTAATTTTAACAAGATAAAACTAACAGAAGCACAATATTAATTCTTTTATTTTTTTTTTTTCCTGGCAAAAAATTCTAGTCACGAAAATTGTCAAGAAAATTAATTTTTCTTGTCACTTCTCTGAAGTTAAAATTTCCTTTTTCTGTTTAATTTTGAAAGTAAAAAACAAGCTATTAATTGATCAAATAACAATAATAGAAATTGTATACAAGTTTCACAACTAAATTGTAAAATTATTTATCCAAGAGAAATTTTATTCATTAAATCTATGTTTATTAATTTAATTGAATACAGTGAAGATAATATTAAAAAAATAATTACAAGCATATTACAGATATTGGTTTGCCATAGACTTGAAAATTTAAATTTTCAGTTAGTAGCCAGTAGATTCTTATAACTTAGTAGCCACTTCTTCCTCAAACCAAATGAGTCTAAGATTGACATCGATAGTTCCTGCTAATTTAATAGCCACTTTTTGTAAACTTTTTTTTGCTTGGATTAAATTACATATACTTATTTTTAAAAAATTCATATTAATTATAATGTGCAGCTATAAAAAGTTGATTCAACAATAAAAATAACATAAATATGTGACAAATTTTATTTTCACATATTGACTTCAAAGAACTTTCTCGGAAATATGTTAATTGTTAACCGCTTCCTTTACCAAATAAAAAATAAATAAATCTGCATTTATATATTTTTTAATAAATACAAGGAACTAAAACAAAACACAAGTTTTAAGTTGAAATTAAGTTGAATTTCTTTATGCGTAAAAATCATTTAATTTACCATCAGTTTACTATCCTAAGCAAATGAAAAAAGTTAAATATTAATCTCTGTATACAGTCTTTTTAAAACAAGGAACAATACAAAGTGATAATTTTCCAAACACCAGTGAAATGATATTTAATCTTTTGTACTAATTTTTTCAATGTAAATCCAGCAATCATCGTATATACAATCGCACAAAACTTGTGTGCAGTGACGCAGTCCAACAGCAAAACTCCTAAACAAAACTTAGAAAACTTCTATTCACAGCACATTTTTTTTTGCTTCCGGCCGAGTAAAAATGTGATAAAACAAAACATACTGACAAATTCTGCTACACCATAGTTTTCTCTGGATAATAAATACTTGCAATATATACATACCCGAGTTAACTCTGAATAATCAGGGAAGTAGTTAAATAACTCTCCATCACAAATTGATGGATTCTGAAGGAACAAAATTTTGAATGGAGACATTGGACATCTTATTGAAAACTGTGCTTTCCAGAGTCTCTTCCTACATTGATGTACTGTTGTCAACCTATTAGCCTGGGAAAAACTGAGAAGTTCAAGGCCTAACGAGGCCTGACAAGCCATTCAAGAGGTGGAGACAAAACTTTAAACTTAAGTAATAAATAAAGGAGATAAAAAGGTGAAAAAATTACAATTGCTTATAAAATAAGAATGGAAATTTAAGAAAATCTTGATACATCTACACTAGTAATAGTTTTTCTTTTATCTCACAGATATTTCAATTACATTCGAACATAAGTATCAAAAATTAATATTCTTACAAAAATTGTGTAATCAGTTCAAAAATATACATTATGGATAATTAAATGATTATCCATATAAGACTGTATAATAATTAGACAGTATAATTACTTTCAGAACCATGCAGTTATCTAAAACTTTTTAAGCATTAAAAATATTTTGATTAAATAAAAAAACACCTATCTGTATTTTAGGTTCAGCCATAAGTAGATTCTTTTCAATATGTAGTGTAGAATAGTCCTTTTAGAATTTTCCATTGTTTTTGGAATAACACACTATAGCTTACTTTTGATGATTACAATCTATTTTATATGCATGTAAAGTTTGAGTTTGGTTATAGTGAATAATTAAATGACTATCCATATTAGATTGTCGTTTGAAGATTTAAATAAGTGAGAATTGCACAAAAAATAAACTGTTCCCAAAAGGGAAAATTACTACTAGCTCCCTCATGAGAATTTCCCCATATCTCTAAAATTCTGTATTTATTTAGAGAACCTGATATAAAAGAATGCTTTTCTGCGACAAAAACAAAAAGTTATAAGTTAAAATATAAGAAAAATAACGGTTGATTAAATTTAAAGTCTAATAACACAAGAACTAGAATTGCTTTGAACACAAATATTATTATGAACTGGTAATGAAAAAAAATTAAGTCTGGCCATTAAATCCATGTTTACCTAGAGAAGGTAAACCCTCTGAGAAGTAGAGAAATAAATAAACAGAGTTGAAAATTTTAAATTCATATAAAAGCATAAATGGTGTTAAAAAGACACATTTGTATGTTTTAGTATTTTAAAATATTCAGCTACAGAGTCCAGTTACATTATCTTGACCACCACCTACTTTCGACGTCAATGTGAAATAACCAAGAGTAGAAGGCAGGCAGTAGCACATTGTATATAAAGAATGTGTCAAGGGAATTATTGCTATTGTCGGTGTAATGCGGAAACTAAATGATTTATCCAAAACTGCTAATTTGTTAACTAATTGTACTGAGCATGGCGAATGGCAAATGTGAAATTAGCGACGTGGCAAATGAGGTACACCACTGGCCATAGATGACAGAGCACTTTCCTTGCCACATACTAAGACTTTTATATAATCTTTATACTTACATGCACATTAATCTTAAATCTACAGAGATTAAAGTAAAAATTCCAATCATTAAATTACATTTGTAATTTCAACAAACATTTATTTAAAATTAAACATTCATTAAAGTTTTCAACAAATCCCCAAGATTTAAATTTTACTCGATAGTATAAAAAAAAACTTCGAATTAAATTTAAACCTGCCTATTTACTTTATCAAACACGAAACAATCAAACATTTACATTCAAAAACTATCTAATGAAATTTCAACCATACAAGTAGGGATGTAACAAATAGTGATTTGGCTGAATACCAACCAACCGGTAAACAAGAACCAAATAATGCATGCGGAATTCGTAATCATAAGGATTCGAGCATTAGCTGATGGTAGCAGAGCATGGTTATTGCTAAGAGAAAACAGTCCAGAGAATAAAACATATTTATTTAAAACAATAAAAACTTGAACTGCAGATTACAAAAGCTATACAATAAATTTAAACAAGCATTATAAATTGGATATTTAGACGTACTCACAGCAAAGACAGAGAAACATGACTAGAGGGTTGTGTAAACTAAACAGCGAGAGCTAGTGCAATACAGACAAATTAGTTTATATACAATTATAACAGGTGTAGAAAACTCAAACAATGCCATCTGCAAAAAAATATTAGATGCATGAAAAGTAGATGTAATTATGAGTTTATTTGTACCATGCCTGCTTCCATAGGGGGAATTCAAGAATTCCATGGCAGCCAAGGGAACATACGTACATCATAGATTGATCTCATAAATATACATTATGAGGCAACGTCATCTTTCCATCGTCCTCAATATAAATTAATAAACCTGCGAGCGTTAAACCGGTCAAAAAAGCTTAGAACTATATTCTATTTCCATCAGTAATAATATTGTTATTTAAAAATTCACAGCAATATCTGCCAAAAAAATTATTGAAAGTCTGCATAGCTTAACAATGGAATTGGGGCAAATAAAGGGCACCAAGAAATGTGCACAAAAAGAGCACCAAGAAATGAGCTAAAAAACATGGTTTCTCAAATTAACAGGAATTTTCATGTCAGAAAATTACATTAAATGTAAGGGGATTTTTATGAATTTATTTTATCTCAGTAATTTTTTGAACAGGGAAAAATCTTGTAATGCACACTTTGTATCATTAAAAAAAAAATCAGACCAAAAATTTAGCCAGGGCTGCCTGAATTTCCCTTAAACCTAGTTTGCACAATCGGACATATTCTGCACAGTACTGAAGCAGGCATGGCTCAACATCCTAGAGAACACTTTCAAGAACTTAATTGACTACCTTTCTGCATGTCTCACAACAGTTCGCTCTGTAAAAGATGGTTATTCTGGCTTTTAACAGGTGGTCACCTTAATGTGAAAGGACTGTATATTGACAATTTCAAATATAAAAGTAGTAACAAATTCAATAACTTTTTGTATCCCTTCAAAAATATTTAATACAAAGTACCTCTTTCTGGTACAGCAAATAAATGACAAAATAATCCTACTTACAGCAGGTTTTGGTGGAGGAGGTGGAACCCATTCTTTAGCAATATATTTTCTCTGTTCATATTTAGCTCTAATGAAAGCTTCCAAAGCCTTACAATGAAGTTAAAGAAAAAAAAAATGGAAAAGTTTAATAAACAGACAAACTGTTAATATAATAAATCTTTTAATAAAGTTTGAGTTAAACTGTTGTATTATTTTTATACTTTTCCTATAATCATCAATCTTTCAATAACCATTTAAGCCACAAAAAAAAAAACCTTAACTTATATAGTTGAAATTTGGCAAATATTAGGAGTATTAAGAGCAACAAGACATTTGACTATTCCAGATTTAGTAAAATACTCGGAAGGAAGAGAAAAATAAAGTGAATTTTTATATAATAAATAATCTCTCATATGGAAATTTTTCCTTGCTCCTGATTTTTATGCAGAATTAAACAAAAAAAAAATTTCTGGCAAAACTCTGCAAAATGTGTATACGTTGTCATCCCCTTTTCTTTAAAATGACAGAGAATGGAAAAATATGTAACTTTATCAATGGCAGGTAAAGAAGCATAATAGAAAATTGCAAGGGCATTTAGCATTGCTTAAAGAAACATAACAGGACAACCATTGGTGATTAATCATATTTTCAACACTGGTAAACTTTACACTCAATACTTGACAAATTTCAGTCAAGCATTATTTTAGATCTGCAGACCATTTAAAGACATTACAGACATCATTCAAATATTTTTCTATATGTCCTTCAAATGGCTTGCAAAACTGCTTAGTAGCATTGTGGATGTGATGGCAAGAAAAACCGTCTACCTCAGGTAAAAGAGGTGCCTTTTCCTGGATTCTTTTTTAGTGACCATACTTAAGCCCCCTCATTACATTACAGGAATCCAACAAAACTGACATTAAATTTTGCTATGGAATATTATATTCCTTAAAAAAATTTAAAACTGCACTGAAAACAGCTTCAGAAGTAACCCTGAATATATTAATGCTAGTTGAATGTTCAACTACTTTATGGTGACAGGTGAGAAATAACTACTAAAATAAACTCAGTGGTGCAACAGCCCATGGCGGGCCAAGGCCTACTGTGCCTATCTCAGTTTTCTTGAACTTTGGGCTCTGGGGTGCAAGAGCAGATGTTCCGGTTAGGTGGTCAGCCCAAAGCGGAACCCCCAGTGTTTAGCTACCAAGCATGCTTGGCACTCATTTTATCAACCCACTAAAGAGATGAAAAGCTGAGTCAACTTGCTCGAATTAAGGACATGTGGTATGACAGCACGAAGTGCTGCAATTAAGCCACCTGGCACCGAGAAATAACTAAGATGGATATAACTCGATTATAATTACTACTTGTAACTTCATCTATATTCATGGGTGCAAGTTGGAAAAATAAATTATCTATAGTTTCATTTAGTAATGTTTTGGCTAAACCTAACCGCATTTTGCATGATGCAGTTGTCCATACCATACTCAAATGATTCAAGGCCTTTTTATCACAGGCTAAAACTTTACAGAAATCAATCAGTATCGGAGGAATAGGGAAAGGCCAATTTATGTTCTGCAATTACTCCTAAAATCAAAGCTTGTACATTTGTAATTCTATCACTTAATGGTACATTTACTGGTAATTGAGTGAGAGGTTCAGCTGAAGTTGATGGAAGAGAAAAAAAAAGTTCACAGGCAAAATTAAATTATTTCGTTTCGTTTTTACTTTTTTCAGATGTTTCTTACTTTTTATGTAATATGGCACAGCTGCAAATCCTCGTTTGCCATAATTCATATTATCTGAGCAGAGTTTGCAAAGTACTTTACCGCTTATCTCAATTTTTTTTTAAATAGTCATCAACTTTCACCTCAATATCTTCTGATAGATTGTTATTAACAGTTATAGTCACTTTGACAGTTTTATTTAGCCATTCAAATTTGAACTAATTTTTTTCAGCAGCATTGATCGTACACACTTTATGCTCATCTTTCAAATTGACTTCCATCATTAAAACGCATTCATCTTAAAAAACACCATGTGAAAAAATATGAGTAAACAATAAATAATCATGTGCCTGGATAAATGCAGAAACAGTAAAAAATAAGAACGACAAAGCTGAGAGAGCTATAATGTACGAATGCGTGAAATTAATATGCGTCACACCAAGAAGGAAAAATCACGGATCAAATATTGGCAGTTGAACCAAAACTGCTTAGAACTCAGCATTTAGTACGACCAAGAACCTCGACTTTTCCTCTCTACAGCGAAAGTTTTCATCGTCATCTTCACCCAGTTTCCATTGACGATTATTCTTTTTCAGACGTCTACTGCTGGGGAAAAAAATTTCGTTTTAAGTATTGTTCTCGTTGTGTGAGTTTCAGCAGTAGTGTGTATGTGTGTGTGTGGGGGGGGTTCTGTAATAATTTGACCAATTCAAAAGGTTTTTGGAACATTGTAGGAAATTTTAAAAATTGGGAGAAAAAAGCGGATTTCTGTTTTTCTGTGGAAGTCTTTCACCCATGGGAACCCTGTTATAAAATAAGTGCTAAAATTTTGAAAAGTTAAATATAGAAAACTTGTTAAGTTTTCTATATTTAACTTTATTAAAAAAGTTAAATATTAAAATCTATAAAAATATTAATATAAAGTTTTGATTATAGAAGGATATGAATCTACTTGAGGTCTCCTAAAACTTTCTGGTAAATTTGCTTCATAGACAGCACGTGCTTGACTGTTGCCCATTTGCTGCAAACACTAAAATGGAAAACATAATTTTAACACTGGTAAAAAAAGTTTTGACACATTAGTTTTAAATTGATAAGACTTAGAATTATGCTAAACAAAGACAATAAAAAAAATATGGCAAATTGGTGAAAAAAAAATGACTTAAATAATACGGAATTGATAATGTGCGATAGTTTTAAAATATCTCTGATAAATGTGAATCTATATTTATATTAGCAAAAAAAAAAAAAAAAAAAAAAAAAAAAAAAAAAAAAAAAAAANAAAGACATTTAATTGAATACTTGCAATTAAAAAAATAAGGATCGGCAAATTTTTTAAAAAGCTTTTTCAGTTTAATTTTTACTTAGAAATGGTAGATGAATAATGCAAAATCAGGTTTGTTAGCAGAAGTTCATTGTTTACAGCCTCACATATCTAGACATAGTAAGATAAAAAAATAAAGTATCTGCGCACACAATCCGAAAGTATCTGCAAGTTTAGAATATTTTTTTGGTATGAATGACTTGATTACATTACAAAAAAGGCCAAAAAACATTTAACTATTTAACATTTATTAAATTCTCCCCTAAAAAAAAACTATATATACATGCACATTAAGAACATTAGAGGAAGATTAATATAAATAGTTATGAATAAAAATGAAACTAAAGAACCACATTCATATTAAGTAATTATCATATTATGAATTAAGTAATATTAATAATTTTGCTCCTGTAATTCTTGACTGTGAAATCCACACTTAACTTTTCGTGGCAAACGTGGGCAACTATGTTTAATTTGTATCAACAGAACTTCATACATTAAAACATATAGTTCATACATGTTCATCACAGAAGAAAATTACATTAAAATTTTTTCCACTGTCACCGTAAGTTTTTATTTCTATTGTAAAGTGATAGTCTTGTCTAGCAGTTTGCTCGCCTGCTAACAATTTTCACTAATTAACAATTTTCACTTTTCTCTTCTGTAGTGGTGCACATACAATTAAACAACTTTTTTCTACCTTGCAAAAATTATGATTATGTTGTCGCCTGCTTACTATTTAATGTTTTCCCAGTGAAATTTTTTTTTGCACGGATATTACAATAAATATATAAAAAAAGCATTTGCAAAATCGGAGAATTTCTGCCATTGTATCCGCGCATAGGGTGCGCCTGCGCTTGCATACAATCTAACTAGCATCTAGAATTTCAAAAAAGATGTGACAAGGGAAGAACTAATAAATAAGTACAAATTTATTTGTTAAATGTCCGTTTTATACATTAAATATAACTCGTGCAATAATTTTGATTGATTTATGTTTTTTGATAAAATCATCAGATAGATCTTACACTTTTCGACAAACCACTACTCAGTAAAACTTATGTTCCTATGCCTAATTGATACCAGATTTTGATAAGAATAAACTTAGTTATATTCTTACACTAAGTAAAATTAACTCAGTTTTTTGCTTTTAAATAAGACCAGACTGAATAACAGCAGTTTTGCGAAAAAATATCTCTGATTAAATGACAGGTATAAATGAAAGTAAAATGCATCAAAATATTTTCTTACTGATGATCTATATTGGGTAGAGTAAGTTCAATCTACTCAGGTGCAAAGTGAACTAATATAAAAATTTTAGGTTTAAATAGTGAAAATTTTTATTTCAGAACTTTCTCTTTGAAAGAAATAAATCACAATAGAAAAATATCTACATTATTTACTATTTCAAAAGCAGATCTACAAATTAATTATCAAAACAAAACAGATCTATAAACTAATTATTAAATTATCTATAAAAGGAGGAAACTGGACTGTGACATAAAAATTTATTAGTGGCCTGTAGTACACTTAAGTCTGAGGCAGTGTTTTCATTACAGAAAAAAAAAATGGGAGATAATTTCTCATCCTTTCTAAAAAACAGGGTGAGATTTCAAAAAGTTAAGTGAGATTTCTAAAAATTAAAAAAACACGAATAGACTTGGAAAAAAATTATTTCTTCAATTATAATACATTTTTAACATCTTCTAATTGAATATTTTTGCTGCATCATCATATGGAAAATGTTCTATATTTACTTTTTCATCAGCTATTATATTTATTTGGCTGAAAAATATCCGTATTTGTTTCGTTTTGACCGTTTCTACCGACATTTGTTTCATTTTCATTTGTCCACTACGGAGTAGAAGATGTCGCCTTAACAAGGTATTTGTTCATCTTAGATTCATGCACATAAAATTTAAACGTCTAACATGAAGAAACCTTACCTACGGTGAACACATGGTTGCAGAGAAATGTGTTCTGAAAGGGGTTCCGTGGTTCGGGAGGGGGGTGGTGTTCTGTTGTTTGCACCAGTTCTGAACAATACTGGTAAATAGGGAAGCTAGATAACAAGGCCCGATGTTCAAAATAATGAAAAATTAAGGGAGAAAAAGGTAAGATTTTTTAAATGATAAAATTAAAAACTTTGTATATTTTGGGTGTCTTAAAAGTTACGCAAATATTTTTGAACAATGCCCTTTTTTGCGATAGGCACCCTTTCATAGGGGGAAATAGTGCCCTTTTAAGCTTCTAGCACCCTGCTATTCTTAAGGTCTAGAATGAACACTGGTTATGAAAACATACAGAAACAGTTTGTGGTGTTAAAAATTATGGCCTACTACTACATTGCATTCAGCCTTTCATGTCTAATGACACCTGTGAGAAGACATTCAACTTACTGCAACTTGTTCTGGAGTCCATGTGTCTAAATTTACAGATTTCACCTTAGAAATGTGGACACCTAAATTTCGATGGATTCCAGCACATCGTATGCAGAGGAATATTCCTAAATTCCAGGAAGCCCAACGAGGCCCTACAATAAGAGTTTAAACAATTAAAGAGGAAAATTCACCAATTCAAACATTATATAGGCCAATAGTAATATAGCAACACATTTTAAATGATATCAATTTCTAAATAAAAAAAAACTTTTTATAATCATACTTTCAGATCAGAGAACATCTTAATCATACAAGATTAATAATTTGCAAAATCAATCAAATTTTAATGACTATCTATAAGAATTAAAACAATCTTTTCAGACTATTCTATTTCATTAATAGAGGAATACAGTGGACAGTTCAGTATTAGTAACTAATTGCTCCAACTAAATACAATCCCTATGGCACCAAAGGGATTTTAAACTTTCAAAAATTCTTAAAAATATGTGTAGAGATTGACCTGAGGGTGGTGTTCCATTAATTAATTAATTGTGTATGAGTTATAAGTTAGAATTTGAAAACCTATTAATTGCTTAGAATTTCTTTTAACTTTCGCTTCATTTTCTTTCAACAACTGTCCAAGTTTCATTTTCTTCCGAAAAGTCTTTCTCGTCCTTAATAGCTTTCCAACAGTCTTTACTATCAGATCTATTTATAGCATCATGATCAATCAAAAGAACAATCTATCAAGTATACTGGTTGTTTTATTTCTCATCCTCTCCCTAATTCTTCAGAAATAAATCAGTCCCTTAAAGATTCTGGGTTTTCAATACTTTCTTCTGCAAATATTTTTGCACCTGATCTGATTGAATTTCTTAGATTTTTGAATTGCTAGTAAGTTCATGATTGCAAAACAAGGTTTAAAAAAAAACATTTTTTTTGTGAGAAACATAACCTGGGTGGGATTTATTGAGATTTAAGATATTTAACACTAGTTTAACACTTTTTAGATTTAATTTTCAATTGAAAAAGAACAATTTTAATAAAAAGAAAACTTATGTACGAAAATAATGAGTAAGTAATGAATTAAAATATAAAAGTTTTAATTTTAATGTAGTGTCAACTTTTCATGCTGGTACTAAAAAAAAAAAAAAAGACTCAAATTAATTCTTTCCTTGAGTAAAAATAAAATCATAATATTGGGATCAGAGATATAAGTTGTTTTCTGTTTTACTTATTTATTTTTAAACATTCATAAGTTGTAGTTTTTAGTTATAAAGCAAGTCGTTTGCCAGCTAAATAACGACAGAACTACTGTTTATTTAATAATTTTTTTAGTAGTTTTAGGAATTACTCTTTAAACTATCAGTTAGTTTTGATTTGAAAATTCAAGAATCAATATATTTAAGATAAATATAAAATCCCTTAAAATTTAACTGTTAATTAATCTTTTTATCTTTTATCTTATTTTTTATTAATCTAACTTGATTATGTTTATTATAAAAAACAAAACAAACCTATTTCAGTACGGGTTTTATTTGGTTTTGTTGAGAGGGTCTTTTTGGGGCTTGTGGGTGGGTCAAAAACCTTGTTGCAAAATACCATATCTTTTGAAATTCTTATTTTCTGTTTTTTTTTTTTTTATGCCCTAACCTATAATTGTCTATAAAAACTACAATAAAAAAATACCTATTAGAAACGCTCAGTTAAAAAACTATGCTATATATAATACAGAAAAACAAGCAAAAATAAAAATTAAAAAAAATCCTTAACTTTTAAAACAAAAAGTGATGAAAAAACGATGAAATTGAGTTGCCTGAATTTAATTTAAAAAAAAAAAAAAACAGCATTACAAAACTAATGGTTCAGTATAAAGGAATCTAGTTTCAATTCTTTAAATTTCATTTTTCCATGTCTTTCAGAACATAAAATAACTAATAAACTTAATTCGAACTTAACAAATACGTTTAAAAAAAATTTTTAAAAATGTATAAAAAAATACAATTTTAGATTATTATTTATTAAATCCATTTGAATTTCTCCCCAAAAAAAACTTTTCTACGTAATACTTTGCCGAATATTCACCCAAATACCAAATAGTGGCCGAATATGCTTTACATCCCTACACAAGATCATTATCCATTGTCTGGAATTTACCTGCTTGGAACATGGCAGAATTTTATTTGGCTTTCTGAAAACAAATCTTCCTGCATTAATATCTTTCTGCGATACTTTTAATAGTAATTTATATAATTGTAATCAATTTATAATAACAGAAGCGATTTGCCTTTATAATAAAAGCCAACATATCTAGAATCAAACTGAAAATATTTTTTAATTATAAAAGTAATCTTTTTTTCTCAACACATGAAAAAATATATTTTGTAATGTTATTGGGGACATTATCACACTTTGAAGGGAGGGAACACTTATTCCTTCCTTTTTTACACATTTTCCAAGTCATCACGTTAATTTAAAAAAAAAAAAAGTGAAATCTGAGGCATTAAGTGTTGAAAAATATAGACGACAAAACTGCGCAGACGTATGACTAACTCGTGCGAATCGGCCTCTCCAAAATGGAGTTACCCAAATGCATGTTTTGAGATTCACGTGTTGTAATAAAAAAAATCTTCCCTTAAAAATATCAGATTTCAAAAACTATATGGAAATCAATTGCAATAACATCCATGATATTTATCGAAAAAACAAAACAAAAACAGTATCATCGTGTAATAAAGTAGGTACTCAAATATGCAATTCAAATGCCCCGTAGTTGAAAATATGATGGCTAAATGCATCAAATCAGCTGAATCGATGCCTGTTGCTTTTTCCTAGTTAAGTCACAGTATGACAGCAAAAAATTTCGATGTTGGACGTTTATTGGGAGCGGTAACAAACAACGGTGCAAAGAAACATTATTCATTTCCTAGAATGTCATTGTAATAAATTTAAAGTTGGAATTATTATCAGATTAAAGTTGAAAGTTTTGAAGATAGTTCAATCTAAATTTGAGAATTCAGAGTTTAAAAGTAATTAAGATTTAACTTCTTAAATTTTCTACTGATTAAACTTGAACTAAAATAAAAAAAAGCTCTAAATTTTAAGTTTGACATTTACTACTGGTTAAACTTGAATATTTATTAGTTATGTTATCATGAGTACATAAATTTAACTACTGATACTATTGAATTTTTTGAAAAAAAAAAAAAAAAGGTTTTAAGTTGAAATTTAGTGATTAAGTTGAGTTTGAAAGATTTTAGAATCAAAAATTGAAATTTAAAAACTTGATTCAATTAACTTGAAAGTTGCATATTCATATTAAATAAATTTTTAATTTTTCAAATTACAGAAAATTAATTTTGAGAATTGGATTTTATTTGATATATATACATGTTTTTCTTAGATATTGCATATATGTGAAAACTGAATTTTTCTAAGAATCGTTTTATACTTTAGATTACTCATGCATATTAAATAAAACAATCTAATAGTTTTAACGGTACTGATATGCATAATTTTCAAATTCCTAAATTTAGTTTGAAAAATAGGTTGAGTTCTTGGCACTGTTGCGATAGACACGTTAAAGTTCAAATATATGTGTATATTACTTATGTCTATAAAGTAATCCTTTAATTTTATATATGCAATGGTGGTAAGTGAACAGGGTTGGCAAGTTTTTGACAATTGATTTTATCATGTTACAACCATGATCTTACCCATTATGTCAAAAACCTCTTTTTGACATAGTTCTTAACAAGTGTCAAAAACCCAAAATTTTAGTGTAAGGATAATTATTAGCTAGCTATTATAAATAAGAATTTATAAATAAACATACATATAAAATTACATGTGAATAATCAATTATACTCTTCAATTATTTTGATATTAAAGTCCTTTGTTTTGACAATTACTGTCAAAAACTCAAATTTTGGTGTACAAAACATTAAATAATTATAAATAGAAATATGTAAAATTAAAATTTACTACTCTGTTAATTTCTGAAATTATTAAAAATAGAAATACAAAAACAATCAGCCTAGTAGTAAACACTCAACAGTAATATTCATCATACATAAAATCTATCTTCATTTACTCCCATTTTATCTTCTCCTTTCCTTAGAGCATGCAACTACAAAAAAAAAAGAAAGAAAAAAAGTTTTCAAGCGGTCTCTAGTTCAAGTTCCTTTTCCAGCTTTCAATACATATGATCGAAATTCGAAACTATTTAACAATTCTTTCGATTGATGCTGAGCTACATAGTCTAGAAAATAGGCATACTATACTTATAACATAATAAAATAATAACTAAATATTAATAGTAAATTAATTAAATCCTTGAATTGATCAAAAATTAGCAGCTCCTTTAAACAAAACTTTTAACATTAAAAAATTAACAACTCCTTTATTTATATTGCTTATAAATTATAATATAATTAATAATTAACATTAGCTCACTAACAATAGAAATATTCATGTACAGTTCGCAAAAGGAAAAAACAGACCACCCCAAATAACTTTTCAATCAATGGTTCGAGAGAATGACCTCAGATATGCTAATTAGTGCAGATGATATATTAAGTTACGAAAGCAGAAACAAAAATGTACTTTCCCTCAATAAACATACTAGTTTTTCAACAGATTTGGATTTATGACCCTCGCAATATAGGGGCTAGCCACAATCTGTGAATCGGTCCCAATAGTTGATCAGGAAAGTGGTCCAAAATTTGGACCCTTTAATATTAATTTTACTTTATGTGTATTTTAGCATATCTCACCAAGTTTTCAAGCGAATAGAAATTTTTTTTGCACAGAATCATAAAAATTCGTTTATCCAAAAACAATTTCATGCAAAAAGCAACTTTTAGTAAATATTTATTATTTTACTTAATAATTGTTGAAATATTTTGAACTGTAAGGTAAACAAATTTTTACATAATTTTAAAGAATGCAATTTTAAATGGCGAAATACAAAATATGAGCAGAATAAGTCAAATAGTTTTTGAAAAATCAAATTTTAAAAAATACCACTTTTTTCGAAGTTAAATTTTTCAGGAACTATTCGACCGATTTCCCCCAAATTTTGTATTTTGCAATTTAAAATTACTTTCTTTAAAATGGTGCAAAAAATTTTGTGCCTATCAATTCAAAATTTTTCGACTATTATGAAATAAAAT